CCCAAAAACCCCAAAACCCCAAAACCCCAAAACCCCTTTTAATTTTGCAAATTCTGCTTAAATAATTCCAATATCAAGCTCTTCTTCCTCCTTTTCTCCTTCCTCTACTGTGCAACCGAACAGGATCTTGAGGATATCTTCGCGACCATTGTGTAGAACCTCTGTGTCATAAGGAGCCATGAAGTTTATCAACTTGTCATGAATGATATACTTCAATTTCTTGTCTTTCGAAATTTTGTTACTCTTCTTGGTCTTCTTTGACATTAGCTTCCTCATCTTGTCTCTCTTACGCAGGTATTCCTGGGTAAGAGACATGCTGATGTTGTGGTCATCTGCCAACTTTTCAGGCTCTATTGAGCCAGAAGAGGAGTTGAGTAAATCTCTCATCAGGGACTGATAGAAGTCCTTGTCATCATATATCTGAAAATCAAGTTTCTCTTCAAGAGACTCCACTGGCTTACCGAGTACACGGTAGACATCACGCTTTTGATGTGTCCTTGTCTCAATAAACTGCTTATTTTCCAGGGTTTTATAAACTTGAGTCAGGATCGGCTGCTGCAGAGCACTCAATGATACATTTCTCTTTGCCAACTTCTGGTTTAGAACATTCGTGTTAACCTGTGTTCTACTATGCCACTTTTGAACAAGCTCTTCACAAGTTGGAAGTAGTCTCTCGTAGTTTTTGTCAACTTTTGGTAGGATATCTTCATCATCTGTTGAGATTGGAGAGAGATTCACATTCATTCTCTTGCCAAGCATCATACTGATCTCATTGAGTGTACAAATGTTCTTTTTGAGGTTAGACTTCAAAGTATTGAGTTCTTCAGCTTTGTCCTCTTCAAATTGCTTAAATACATCAGATTGTGGGAACTGATTAGTTTTTGTGAGAATTTTCTGAATTATCATCCTCTGTGAAACAATAGCCTCTTGTACTTTCCTTTGTTCTTTCACTTGGCTCGCTTTCTGTAAATCCTCTTTATTCTGAAGCATGACTTTGCCCTTATAATTATTATCTTGCTTCTCTAATTTCTCAAGTTTGTCGATCATTGCTGCATCTTCATCACTTTCCTGATTATCGTAGCTGAATATTAGACAAATTTCTTACTTTTTGCCGTAGCCTTGGGCACTATTTTCCTCTTCTTGGTCATAGCTTTCTTGATCATCACTTTCTTGTTCTAAGACTTATCAACTGCTAGAATAAAGGCTTACCTTTAGAGGCTTCTTTTGGGTCTTTTTCACCGTCACTGCTTTCTTCAACAACTTCAAAGCCTAAAAGTTAGAAAGAGGCGAACCATCATCGGATTCTTCTTGAACATTGCCTCTTAGTTTTCTATAAATGAGATGGGAAGAAGTACTCGTTCTTAGACAAGTCTTGACTAGTAACTTTCTTGCTTCTATAGACTAAAGAGTCAAGCTCTCCAGCAAGTTCTTCTTCCTGTTGATTTTCCTTAAACTGCTTTGCCATCTTAATCATGTTTCCCTGAGCTATACTATCAGATGTGGAGTGATACTAATATCATAATCTTCTGGGAGACCTTCATATTCACTTGAGTCTGACTCGCTCATCGTGTTTTCAATTTAATTAATTAATTAAGGGGTTTTGGGGTTTTGGGGTTTTGGGGTTTTGGGGTTTTGGGG